GTCTCCTTTGCCATGGGAATAAATATTTAATATCCCAATCCGTGGACAAAGCCACCCTCCTCCGGGAAAGACAGTGAGTGTCCCTGCCATCCAAGGCAGTCTCTCTGTTGGCACCCCTGAAGATTATGCAGAATAAGGGGTGCCATGGGAGGCTGCCTGCGGCAGTGGGGTGCAGGGATATGCTAGGCCAGAGAACAGGAAGGGCTGGAGGAGGACAGGAAGTGCCTGTCCTGGAGGCGCTCACCCCTGGGGGAGGGGCGTGCCCCTGGGCCAGGAGAGCAGAGGCTTCCTTCAGGGCCCCTTGATAGCGGCTGGACTTGGGCGTGGAGAGTCAGAACCACTCATTGGTCCCACATCCTCCTCCAGGACCTGGGTTCTGACCAGGCTCTTGGACTCCCTCTGAGGGAACAAGGTCCTGCAAAGAAAGCCATGTCCGGCCTCAGAGCCGCGGGTCCTCTGGCTCAGGCTCCAGCTACGTGTCCGTGCCTAGGTGGCCTCATGTGGCTGCCCGTGACCTCCTGCCCAGCAGTGGTCTGTCTACTCCTGAGGCCGGGGCACTCTTCAGCCTGTAGTTACCATACCATGAGCCAGGTAGCCCTCAAGTACTGGAGAGGAGAAGACATCCTAGATGTCTCCTTTTGCGCTTACGGGCCTGCCCGTGTGGTCTCACTAGGCAGATCCAGGTAGGTGCTGACGTGCAGAAATCGCCTAGCTGGTATCATGTGGCCAATTAATTAATGACTTTCAATCAAGAACAGAAATGAAGTTCCACGTTTGAGTTTGTTAGCGCGTGTGTGTGTAAAAATGAGTGTTACAGATTATTGGAATTAGTTTAGAATATTTGATGTGATCAAAAGTATTCGCTAAACATTTAGGGCTTGTTTGGTTGATTGTAACTGGAGCAGTGCCCCAGCGGGTGACCATTGGAACCACAAACACCTGAGGAGATGCCTGGCAGCTGTGGGTTGCTCCCAGGGTGTCGGGAAGAAGTCTCTGGGCCCTGGGCTGCCTCACCCGGGAAGCATCTCTCCTGGTGGATTTGCGTTTGGAGGCGACTCCCTGTCTGTGGACTCCTCAACTCTCGAGGGCAGAGGCTGTTTGCTACCATTCATTTTTGTTTGTTTTCAGTTCAGCAAATATATTCTGTATCATCACAGAAAACACTTTTTTCTTTATGTCATAATTAGTTGGTCTTTTCAGGGAAAGTTTAACTGATATTAAAGTAAATGAATATTTTTTAAAAGAGAGAGGTTTACTCCCTTAAGAGAAAGCCAGAAATGTTTTATTTCTGAGAATTTCTCTGTGCCTATTTTTTGGAATATTGTGCGACTCAACCAGAGACCAGGAGCCAGGTGGACAGGAGGTTGAATGGGTGGCCAGGCAGTGCACCAGGTGGCAATGGTGCCACCCTGCGTCAGGTGCAGAGATGGAGATGGTCAGCTTATTTTTCTGAGTAAAACATAGTTGCTGCGCAGGCTCATTTCCCAGGGGTGCCAGAAAGTACCGTGTTTCAATGGAGCCTCCCAGCTTGAGTCTACTCAGGAGGGAAAGAAATCATTGCTAACTAAGTAGAATGCCTCTTTGAGCTCAACCCAGATTCCAGGACACAAGTATACACATCTGGCTTTAAAAAACTGGACTTTTACCATGTGATTGGTGCAGGTCTGTAACCCCCCAACTTGGAAGGCTAAGGCAGGAGGATTACAAGTTTGAAGCCAGCCCCAGGAACTTAGCAAGACCCTGTCCCAAAAAGTAACAAGGGCTTGGGCTGAAGCTCAGTGGTAAAGCACACCTGGGTTCAATCGCAGTATCAAAAATAAAAATATGGTTGGGGAAGGGGCCCTTGGCAGGCTGATGGTTCTACGCACCTGCTGTGAGGGAGTAGCCCAGCTGATTCAGAACCTCATGTGGGTACCAGGAGGTTCTTGGTCCCGTAGGTCCCTGTTTGGATCCCTGGAGACCCCCTCTACCTCCTTCTACCCTCAGGAGGCAGAAGGCCACCTCCCAGCCACTCCAGCATCTTACTGTGTTACTCGTTCTTAAATTTCATTTCATAAACAGCACAAGTTTGAGGACCAGCAGACAAGCCACAGATGCCTTAGCTACAGCCCCCGTGGTGTCAGTCAGCAGTGGGAGGATGGTGTCCCGAGGGGCACACCAGCCCTTTCTCGGGCAGCTCCGCGGTCGCCTGCTCTTCCTGTCTTGCGGGCAGTCCCCCCTACTGACCTCATGTGCATGTGGATACTTCTTTCTGGAGTTTGCTTCAGTAGCCAGTGACGGACGCACTAAAATGACTTCCTCAGCCTTCAAGGAAGTGGTCTTGCAAGGCTGATAGCCTGGCTGTCCTGGGAATGGCCTCAGAGTGGGTGGGCAGGGAGAGCACTGACCCCAAGATGGACGGACGGACAGAGTGAATTTCCTTCAGGTCTTCCAGCCGTCGGGCCTTGTGTGCCTGAAGCTGGTATTACATAGAGGTTCACACTCCGTGGTGGCCTGTCGGGGTTCCAGTGGGCACTGTGGAGAGAAGACAGTCACCTCCCTGACAGTCGGGCCACAGGCAGGGGTCCCGTGGGCAGAGCAGGTTCCGAGGTGCCTGGCACAGAAGTCTGGGTGACAGCCAGGAGGTGTCGCGCCCTGCTCCGAGTGGCTTCTCTGTCCTTCCACCACTTTTCCCTCTTTCCCTTTCACCTGCCGTAGAAATGTCGGGGGGGGGGGGGGTCCTGCGGGGAAGTCATGTGATAGAGGCAGGGTGGGGCCAGGGAGCCCCAGGAGCTGCTCTTCGGCAGCGTCTCTTCCCCAAGTCCAGCCCTGATGGGTGATGTGTGGGATCCAGGTCCCTGGGGAAGAGAAGCACAGGGGACAGTGCAGCACCAGTGCTGGCATGGATGGCCCAGGCCACCTGTAGGCCCCAAGGGCCAAGGAGAAGGTGGAGCACCCAAGCACTCCTCCAGCAGAGGCGCGCAGCCAGCCCAGGTGCCTCTCAGGAGGGGAGCCCAGAACACACGGGGCAGCTCACTGTCCACTCTGCCGTCCATTAGCCCAGGAGAGGCTAAAGGTGTGGGAGCTGACAGAGGCAGCCCTTATGGATGCCCCAGGACGAGCACAGGATTGTGGTCATAGGCTGCCAGAGGTGCCCCAGCCAAGCTGCCCCCTGAGTTCTGAACACCCTTCCGTAGCAGGGTTCCAGCCAAGGCACCCCATGCCCAGAGGACAGCTCCAGGCGGCCACCAGGACAGCTGTGATGTTTCCCTGGGAAGGCTGGCCCCTCCCCAGGCTGCTGGGAGGAGTGGTACAAGGACAGGGCTGGGGTGTGCTCCCGTGACACTGTCACTGAGGATGCAGGACTCGGAAGTAGCTGTGTGTGTCTGGGGTGTCAGAAGGTCCAAACCATAGCATCGAGCTTTCAGAACACGAGAACTGGGGGGAGCCAGCTCAAGAGCCTGCACCTGGGCAGAGGAGGCAGGACCTGAGGCTTCCAACCTGAGTCTGTGCCTTCCAGAGCAGGGGTCTGCAGTGGGGCACGGCGGCTACAGGTGTTTGTCTTACTAGTTAGTTTGTTTTGGGGTTTGTTTTTTAATTAACCTGAGTGCTGCAGCCGGTCCATGCAGGCTTAATGTGCCCTGAGTCACCTGGACACCTTACTGGACTTCCAGGGCCAGGGCACCTGGGACTCTGTGTTCCCGGAGCACTCCCGGGCCATGCCTCTGCGCTGGGCCCTTGGCTGCAAGGTTCACAGCTTCCTGCGTCACTTCAGCGGTTTTCTGGACTAGGTTAGACCAGCTGTGACTAATTTCTTTTATGGTCCCAGTTCAGGCAACAGCATAAAATAGGTATCTAAAGGTAGGAATATATTTTCTAAAGCAAGACCCTTTGTCTCCGTAAGCTCGTGTGTTAGGGCCCCACCCTGCCCCTCGGTGAATTAGCTTTCCAGGCTGCACATGGTTACAGGAGGCCACTTGTTTGGGGAGAGCCCTGGTTCCTCTCCCTGGCTCCTGAATCGCCAGAGTGCTTTTGAAAATGCATATTCCCCGAGCTTATCCCCAGACCTCCTGAATCAAAATCAGAGCCTGATCGTGAAGCCTCTATTTTTAAAAAGCTCCACGGGAAATTCTGGTAATTGGCCAGATTTAGGAACTGCTAATGGGCTGCACATTTAAAACCCTGTACTGTGAAAACCCTCCACTGAAACAGTTTAGAACTTAATTGGCTCTGAACTAAAACAATTGAAGAAAAGTTTAAAAAAAAAAAAAAAAAAAAAAAAGGACCAACCAACCCCTCTAGATCTAACAGACTGATTCAGGAGCTGCAGGTATGATTGGCTGAGCTTTAGAGAAAAGCACTTAATTATGTTTTTGAGTCTACAATTGGTGTGACCAGATAATAATTCATTTTGATGTTGAGCAACTGATTGAAATCATTAAGTGTACAATGGAATCATTTTTCATCACAGCCCACACGCACTATGAAGTCGCTGGGGTTATTTTTCCTCTGCTTAGTCATTTCAAGGTTAAGAGTAAAGTTATCTGGTCCCGGAGTCTGTGTCTCCTCCATGGTCGCGTCTGGGGACTTTGATTTGTGTTGATCATAAAGTACCGCTGCACCGTAGCTTCATCCTCTGGCACCAGACGCATGACTCCGGTGGTTGAGCATGTGTGGCTAGTCTGTGGACAGGTTGGCTGCAGGCGTCTGTAGCCGCCTCCTGCCCTGGCCCCTCTTCTGGGGCTGACTGTGGTAGGTTGTGTCTGGGGGGCTGCTTTCTGTGCGGCCATCTGAGCTTCAGGGTCCTTCGCGTGGCTCCGTCCAGCAGCAGCAAGACGTGCACCACCCTTATTCCTCACTGCCCTTTGCCGTATGGTGCTTCCATTAGCCAACGCAGGACGACAGTGGCTCTCGGTGGTCAGGTACACTGGGTGCCAGCAAGAGGCCCTGTAGACTTACCTCGTGCTGCCTTCTGTGGTCTGCAGTCCGCCGTGGTGTTCACCTGACTTGTTTATTCCTAGGGAATGTCACTAGTGCGTCTGGGTCTCAGATGGCAAGCGGCGTCAGCCTGGTCTCCTTCAACAGCCGACCCGACGGCATGCACCAGCGCTCCTACTCAGTCTCCAGTGCCGACCAGTGGAGTGAGGCTACGGTCATTGCAAACTCGGCCATCAGCAGTGGTAAGAGGGGGCACACCCCCACAGACCGCGGCCACCTCCTGGTCCTCCATGTAAACCAGGGGCTGGGCAAGATGCCTGAGTTCAATGTGCTCCACATGGAGCACAAAACCCTTGGGACCCTATGACAGCAGTGCCGGTCTCGCCTGTCACCTGTGGAGCGTTTGTTCTTGATAGTCTCTCATCTGCATCATCTCCTCTGTCCCCTCTGCTCAGGGAGTGGATGTTTATCCCCATTGGAGAGATTTGAGAAACTGGGGCTGCAGATAGGACAAGTGGCTTGCCCAATGTCACGTGACAGGGAGATGCTGGGTGAGACTCAACATCAGCTGTCACATCCCTGATCACACTGCCCGACACGGCGTGGCCTGCGTCCGCCTCAGCGCACGTCGTACGTTGTTAGGGTGAATGTAGTCTGTTGTCGGTTTTCTAGGGTTCCTGGTGCCCCTCTAGATTCTGGAGCGTCCCTCTGTAATTCCTCACTTCTTCTGCATTGTTTTAATTTCTGACAAGTGTGGCCTGCTTCCTAGGGGACAGATGTGCAAAGGAAACTCTTCTGATGCAGTTGAAACATGAATCATCACATGGGGGGCACCCTTGCTGGCCACAGCAGGCTCCGCCTGTGGCATTTTGTCTGTGGCCTGTTCACTGGTATTTAAGGGGATTCCCACTGTTGTACACAATCCATCAGACAGGCTTTGAGAATAATTTTAGCATAATTTGTTCTAATTAAAAGATGCAGCATCAGGTCTTCCCTGAGGACCCACCAGCTGCTGCGGCAGGACCCTGCTCTGGGTAAACATCATCCTTACTTCTCGTTCCTCCACACTCCCTTGGCGGAGATGGCCACACCGAGGCCTTATGGAAAGCATCTCCACGCGAGGAGGCACAAGGTGATTCAGCACTGCCGCAGCAGCACAGGCCTGCGAAAGCTCGCTCCTGGGGGCACAGAGATAGCACGCACCCAGGTTCAGTCCACGGCTCCCTCCCGACTCCAGAAAAGACGCTTTGGGAGACGTGAGCATCTGACACCAGCCCTTGCAGGGACCCTTGGATGCTCTGCCCTTCTCCTGAGCCCTGGTGATACCTAGAGACCCCCAGTGGAATGAGTTAGGGTCATTGTAGATGAGCCCCTGCATTCTCTCCCCTCCCTGACCAGATCCATGTGCCTCAGCCTCCAGCAGATACCGCTCCTCTGTCCTCTCACTGTCCCTCACTGTCCACCACACTCTCTGTCCTTTGGCATGAGCTGCTGCACGTGGCATGTGGACTCTAACACCGACCACTGTTTTCACCCTGGTGACCTTTTTCGGGAGCTAGTTCACACACTGAATCCTTTTATTTTCAAGTACTTCAAAATACCTCGCGCATTCCCATCGCTGAGGCCCCGTGGTGGTGTGCTCACACGGAGCCCAGCTGAGCCTCCCCGAGTCTGAGGTTCGTGGGGTGTCACCGAGGCCCGCCTTCTCACGCAGCAGATCCTTTGCGAGAGAATCAGTGAGGCACCAGTCCGAGCAGAGCGGCAGTTCTGAGGTTCTGTGCACTATACACATGGGAGTGGTATGGGAGCTCCTGAAAGACAGCGACCCCCACACGCCTTTGCCTCTCTGCATGTAGAACATTTTTACACAGTATCTGAAGTACCTAAAGTACAAATTAGAACTGACTCACTAGATCACCTTCCCTCCTGCTAACAGCCACACACACACGGGCATTTCCACAAGGACAGATCCTGAGACGTCATTATTTCTAGTCCTGGGTTTGGCTGGAAGTCACTTTCCATGGATGTTTGTTACACCGAGCTGTACACGCGTGTTTACACACTGCCTGTCACACCACACACGGCTGCAGTCACCTGCATTTGAAGGCTGTTCTTTAAACTGCAGAGTAACTTATATGGGAGCACGCTGAGTGTCTGGCAGAGACCTGTGTGCTCCCTGGCCATATAGCACTTGAGCCTGTGCCCAGGAAATCGGACACCCAGGCCTGTTTCCTGAGTGTGGGCCTGCCTAGGGAGGTGGATGCCAGCCAGAGTGACCCAGTGTGGGAGTTAAAGGCTGACGAGTTCATCAGGGAGAACTGCAGGCCAGGTGGATGTTGTACAGAGCGGCAGGAAGTTGTGATAAGCACTGGGGCATTTTGGACAAAGACACAGGGGAGGAAAAGGGAAATGGAACAGCCAAGGAGCCACTCAGAAGTGAAAGGTGTGAGTCATGTTCTGCAAAATGAGGAGAGAAGGGAAGAGCAGAGTGTTAAGAGGCCAGAGTGGCTGTGGATCCGGGTCTTTAAACAGCAAAGACTAGGAAGACGGCAGAGTGGTGCAGAGTATGGTTCCTGCGGTTCCCGGGGCCTGCCCGACACCTGTGTTTTCTGCCAGGATGGTATGTCATAGCTGATGTGTTTTTGAGGAGGAAATGATAATAAGAGCTGATATTCATTTCAGGCTTCATGTGGATTATCTCCCTTATCCTCATGGAGTAGATCCTGTTCTTAGCTCCATTTTCTGTTAAGGGGATGGTCCAGAAGTCAGATGGCTTATTCGAGGTCTCACTCTGCCTAAGACCAAGATGCATGCTCAAGCCTGATCGCAGGCCTTGGTCTTCATTCTCCATCAGCTACTCCTTGGACCTACTTGGAAATGCAAACAATCCGTCCCCATTCCAGACCCACGGAGTCCAGAACTCGGGCCACAGGACCCAGTGACCTGTGTGGTTGCAGGCCTTGCCAGGGACAGTGTTGCATGCTGAAGTCTAGATCCTTGCCTCCTTGTGGTCCCTGCACACAGTGGCATCTGACAGCCCCTGGCATCAGCAGCTAGCCATGCAGAAGTCCAGGCTACCCCCACAGCCCTGAACACACCCCTGTCTTCCAGGAGGGCACTGTCCTGGCCACCCTCCGGCTGGCACCATTTCTGCCTTTACCATGTTGATTATCAGTGGCCAAAGCCCAGCTGTCTTCCGTGAGCACCAGGGTGCAGAATCTGATTGGGGGCACTTCAGTGAGGTGTTTATAAGTCGTTCCAAGACCTTTGGCATAAGCATTCCCAGGGAACTTGGAAGTTAATCACCAAGGAAACAAACACAAATAAGGGCTATCTGCCATTCTTTATAAAGTTGCAGTTAATGCTGGACACACTCCCCTGCTCCTGTTTGAAGGTATTTTACCCCCCACCAGGCCCTCACCATCTCTGGTTTGGATTTCGGAGTCCTTAGACACTGGCAGGGCTGGCCCCAGGAGGTGGGGCTGAGCAGCCTTGGAGCACACCTACCTGTGTGCTGAGCATGCCGCTGTGGTCACCAGCATTACGGTGAAACGCCATAACAACAACAGCCCCAGGATTCATCTCTTCTCTGCCCCCACCCCCGCCCCACACACACACATCCGAAATTAAGACTTTGGCTCCAGAGAACTTTTCAATCTTCCCCTTTGACACCCAGTTCCCCCCGGGGCCTCTGCGCTCAGGCAGCTGTGAGCAACTCCTAATTAGATAGACGGCTTTGTCGTGGGCCACACTAGGAAACAGGGGGTGCTGGCTAAATTAAGAGGAGAAGCAGAGAAGAATCCATTCTGTGAAATGGAATGCCCCACTGCTTTATGACTATTACTGTTGTAAGCCTTTACATTTAAGTACCTGAGGTTTAAAATTAAACGTCTAATATAATTTGGCGTTGCTAACATGAGCCCCGCATCTGCCCTTAGAGAAAACCCAGACAGCTCTGTTCAGGGTTTCAAATTGCTGGCTGGCGAGCCGCTTGGAGGATTGGATCCCTCTTCCAACTAAGTACCACATGCTGGTTGGCGTAATTTTTTAAATGCAGAACGTATTCATCTTGAGCTTCTGCATTGAAAAAGGCTGTTCCAGTAGTACATGAAAAATTAATTTTTTTACATTTTTTCTCACTCTCCTAAGTGTTTGACAGAAGTAATTTTTGCAGCAAGAGAGAATAAAAACTGGTGGCTGTAAATTCCTGTCCTGGAACCTCTTGTGTAGATTCTTTATGGACCCAGAATTGATCTACATGTCAGATCCTGTTGTGGTTTAAACTGTTTATCACCGTAATGGCAGTGGTGAGCCCGTGAACACCAACTTATAACCCTGGGTGAAAGAAATTGGTGTTTGCAGTCAATGAAGGGGCAGCTTAGCTTTATTGATAGATTCAGAACAATTATCTCTGCGACAACTATTGGCTGAGGGTTTTCTTGAATCTTACTGGAAGCCTGTAATTTCCTGTTTTATTAATCATTTTCTCTGCAGGTAATTTTCTCTGGAAGTGTCAGCAGGAGTTAGCACTGCAGTGGGGCGCAGGGTGCCCTGGGGGGTCATTTGTAGCATACCTGGTAGTCATAGCTCACTTCAAGGCGAGAGGTGTCTTCAGATGTGTCACACCTGTGCTGAGGGACAGAGCGGACCCCATGCCCCCGTGCATTTGTCAGCCTTCCTTCCCAAGTGCCTGGGCGCTGTCCCTGTCACTGTGTCCTGAGGGTGCCAGCCTTGGCTGGGGGCCTCAGCCACTGTGTGTCTGTGGCAGCCGTGCACCCCACCTCCTGACTGTGGGTCGTCTCTCAAAGCTGGGCACTGCTCTCCGCCCCGTCCCCCGATTGCTTCAGTCCAACAGTTTATCTTCCCCGCTGTGGCTGGTGTCACTGCTAAAGCTGCATTTATTCACGTGGCTCTCTAGTGCTGCTCCTCAGCCTCCCCCAGGCGGCCTTCTCCAGGCCACCTGCAGCCTGGTCAGCACGGAGCACCTTCTTTCCCTTCTCTGCACAGAAGGTGTGCCCGGTGTGTGCCTGCGTGTGAGCTGGTGTGTACCTATGTCTGCCCCTGCTTTCTTCTAACCACTCGATCGTGTCTTCCCCCAGACTCTATGGTGACTAGACAGTAGATCCTGAATTGGAAGCATTTCAGTTTTGCTGACTTTTAAATATTTTTTCCCTGTTATGCTTGGGTATTGCTCTCCCTTTCTTCTCTTCCCATAGAGCCAACCCAATAAAAGGCAGCAGCC